ATAAATAGTCAATTATCATGGTCTCAATATACTATCCATAGAACGACAGTCTATCACAAAACAAAACAATAATTTTATCTCAAAATTTAAATCCATGAAATCATACAGCCGTATAATTAACATATAATATATTTGAGTTCTAAGATAAATCGATTTCAAAACCCTGCTCTGATACCAATTGAAAAACTTTTATTTATTTTATGCGGAAAAACCTTAATCACAGAATCTTGAAATCAAATTCATCTTAAGAATATAATCACGTAATAGAGATTATCGACATACCGTTCGCCATGGATTCCGATAGAGATGATGAACGATAGCAATCTACAAGCCGAGCCTAGCCAGGCCTCCTTCGAATCTCCTTGAGAACTTTATTCGTAGCACACCTTCTTCTCTCTATCTCTCTAATATCACAACTCACGAATATTTCTGTAAGTGATGGAATTCTCAATTGTGTCTGATGGTTGAGGAGAAGAGCTGTGGATTTCTTTTATAGACGAGAGAAGAGGGCCACGATTGATTTGTAACGGCAGAAGACAAATCCCACCCATCATGGTCTTTTACTGCCTTCAACGTTACAAATCAATTACCATAAAATCACCTTAATACCATGATTTGAATTACCCACAATTTAATTAATTAAAATAAAGATTAGTGGACCAAAATTAAAAACGTTTTAAAACGTAAACTAACACATACTACCCGACGAAAGACGAACTATATACCTAAGTACTCATGTAATAATCAAATCTCAACTTATATATAAGTACTCTGCTACTGTCATAATTAATTAAAGATTTTATATTATCACTTACAAGTGTTCTGTTATTTCTATATATTTTTACTGTGTCAATTTTGCAAATTTCTGAATGCTGCACAACAATTTCACATGAAGTTTAATTTGCCAAGGATTATAAAGTAGGCTATTTAATATTGGTGCATAATTTAGCTAATTTAAAGAACCAGAGAGTGGTTCAAAATAGTTGCATTAAGACTGATTTGCCCTTTTTTCTAATAATATAACATAATCGCAATAAAATCGGACCACCGTGCTACGTCATTCGAGTTTAGTTCACTCAGAATATTATTTTGTCGGTTCCTATAGATTATAAAGTTAATCGATCACAATCTAGATATAATTGGACAATCCATTTGAATAAAGATTGTAGCACATTTTAAAGTAATTAATCTATCTTTGATTACATTAAATATTTTTAAGTAATTAAATTCTAAATTCACGTGCAGATCAAGTGTAACTCACGTACAAATCTCGTGCATATTACGTATTTATGTGATTATATGCGCAAATCCGTACTTATTTTATAAGCGGTCACTTTAGAAAATGGGTAATCATTCAAAATACAATGAAGATGATACTCTTTCATATTAATTATATATATATATATATATATATATATATATATATATATATATATATATATATATATATATATATATATATATATATATATATATATATATATATATATATATATATATATATATATATATATATATATATATATATATATATATATATATATATATATATATATATATATATATATATATATATATATATATATATATATATAATTTTACAAATATATTTTGAGAATTAAATCAATTGGGTATTTTACAAATAAAATTTTAATTGTCTTTTTTAGGGACAGATTCTAATTATTGTGATACTTTTTACAAATTAAATGTATTTTTTGTTTTTTGAAGTCAACATAAAATTTAACCTCCTTACGTAATTTTAAATTTCAAAATTAATTGTTAATAAGGAATGAAAAAAAACACCTCACATTTATGGGCGTTGAAGAATATCAACAAGTTCTGGGGGGCGATTGTCGGGTGGCGAAGGGGCTGGATTGTGCTTCGGCATCGAATTTTTATGATTATCGAAAGACCGATAATCATAAAAGCCGTTAAAATAGACAATAGTGTCCATTTCAACGTGTTTTTGCTGCCAAAATCAATATAATTCCTGTTTCCGAAGTCCACCGATGGCTTCTCCAACCAACTCCTTTGGACCTCTTCCAAAGGAGGGTGCCTCCGGTGGGAAAGTGTCGGCCTATCGAACTCGGACTCGATTTCTATAGGTTGCATTTTTTTATGCATGAAAAATAGGAGAAAAAATACGCGAGTATAAATTATAATGGACTTGATAAACACAAAACAAGTTTCCATTACTTTAAAATTACAATTCTAGATAAGATATTATAAAGCCATGTTAAATATCAATTCTAAATCCATGTTCCAAAAAATAGTATAACACGTTTTCAAAATCCTTCAGTTACACCATTCATTTCTCATGATTCATATTTTCAATATCAAAGAAGAGAACTTTTTAGAAAATGGAAACAAAGAGAGTTAAGGTGACGTTTGTTTATGTTTCCAAACTCCCTTTCCAGTTTTATACCATGCATAAAACCGGGATTATGTTTGTTTATGAATTTTCACTTGGAAATTCCTATTTTTCTTAACAATTTTTTCCAATAGAAATACACTATTCATATTTTTCCCAATTTTCAAACCTACATTAATACCTACTAACCTATTTGTCTCTCCTCCAATTTCTCTCCCTTCTTATTAATATTCAGCTAGTTTTCCACCTTTCTTTTACACTTTTACACCAACTCTCTCAGATCTTTTAATTTATTTTTATAATTCTATTATTTAATTTTCTCCCATATCTCTTATCTGTAATTAATATCCTTGTTAGAAGAAAGATGAACAACAACAACAACAACAATAATAATAATAATAATAATAATAATAATAATAATAATAATAATAATAATAATAATAATAATAATAATAATAATAATAATAATATTCAATCGTATATATTCTACTTTTGCATGTACTTTCGTAGAGAAAACTCACCACAACTAAACATATTCCCATTTCTACACCTATATAAAACTAAAAATACCACTTCATCCAAACATATTCCTATTTTCTACACAAAAACCAATACATCTACTTTTTCCATCAGAAATTATGAAAATTATAAAATCTCATTAGAAACATAACCAAAATATATATTACCTAATTCAATTTTTGTAACTTATTTGGTACAATTTTCAAATCATTTTCACTTCCAAAACAAGTTTTTTTTTTTTAATACAAGCTCGAATACTCCTCCCAATTTACGATTTCCGGAACTAAATTAACACCACTAATACTTGTAGACATAATTTGACTACTACAGTAAAAAAAACATAAAACAAGAAATTTTGTACTTCTGTCCTTTTATATCAAGATTATTTTTGTTGGAATATTTGTATTTTGAATTGAAAATTTTCTATTTACATCATATTTTATTTATGAATACATTTATACTGAAAAAATATTTATTTAATTCACCAAATAACGGAAAGTGCGTTATCATACCTCACTGCTATTTACATCATCTTTCATTTTATGAATGCAATATTTTGATCTATAAACACACGTTCGCCAACATATTTTTACATGTTTTTCTTTCTCTTATTAGAATAAGTTGTTAACGAGAAAATACGAGTTGGTAAAAATGGTATAGTTCAATAACTTTACCTCGACCAAATTTACGTGCAAATCAAGTGTAAATCTTGTGCATATTACGTGATTATACGTGCAAAAACGTACTTATTTTTATAAGCGAACATTTTCAAGAATGAATAATGATCAAAATAAAAGGAAGATGAAATTCTTTCATATTAATTTGTTGATGGTAGGTAGAGAGACATAACAAAAATATTTAGTATGGTAATGTGACATGCAAAAATATTATACACTTTAGATGTATTAAATATATTGGGATATAGTATTATTGTAGCATTAATTAAAATGAAATTAACTTACATTTCTGGGCATTGAAAAATAGAGGGCTTTGTAGAGGAATTTTTGGAATTGGGATGAATTTCTAGACTCCAAAAATTTTGGAATTAGTTTTGTACTTTCGAACATATTTGGAAAGTTTTCTACAAAGATCAATTCCGATCCGTTTCAGACATTCACCCAAGTCCTATAAGGACACCAATTTTCGGCTATAGTGACTTGCACTACCAAAAAAAGGGGCTTTTGTGACGGACGATTGCGTCATTAAATTGAAGAAATTCCGTCATGAATACCTTTTTGTGACACATGTGTGACGGAAAGTGTCCGTGGGAAAACCCCTCGTCACTACTTAAACTGTGACCTATATATTCGTTTGTCACATATTTTGTCACGGAACCGTTTGTCACTACAAAATACATTTCCGTCACAATTACCATGTCCAGGGTCTATAAAATTTGTGACGGAATGTGTCACAAATATTTTTTTAGTCGTTAGTAATCCGTCGCATATTAATAGGCCACATTGTTATTTATCCGTCACACCTACTGTCATAAAACCATCACCAATGTTCCGTCGCAAATTACATGTTACCAGTGTTCGTCACAAATATCAGTTATCACGTGTCCGTCACCAATACAAGTTATCAGTGTCCGTCACATAATTCCGTCACCAATGCCCGTCACACAATCTGTCACACATGGCGTCCCACACATCCGTCACCAATGTCCGTCACATAATATCGATCACAAATGTCACACAATATCGGTCACTAATGTCCGTCACACATATTGGTCACACAAACGCCGTCACCAATGTCCGTCACCTAATATCGATCACAAATGTCACACAATATCGGTCACCAATGTCCGTCACCTAATATCGATCACAAATGTCACACAATATCGGTCACCAATATCCGTCACACATATCGGTCACACAAATGCCGTCACTACATACTTGTCACACAACATCCTGTCTCAAATCCCTCACAATCTTTTTACTAAATAAATTGTATTGCGTCATCCAACAGTCACATTTTCATCACAAATCATTAAAATAATAATTATGATTTATTTATTTATTTATTTTATTTTGTATAATAATTTCCAGATTATGAATTAATATTCAAATTTAATCATCCACAAAATAACAACATTAAAAAAACTAAGAAAATCCCAATAAGAATGTAAATCTAAATAAATCATCACACGGGTATGATTCCCAATAGTTCCAACATGAGCACAAATTCCAAAACATATAATCTTAACAAAATAATGTAAAAAGAATCTTAACAAGACAGAATGATCATATCATAGTCTAAATGTTTCATTCACCACGTATTTGTACTCCGTACATGTCCCCTTGTTCTAGACTTTCGGTGGCTTACATTTCCTTCACCCATCCTGCAGATAATCATGAAAATAATCTATAAGAAAATACACATAAATAACCAACTGCAAATAATTATATGAAAAAAAAAAACATACATAACCAATGAAAATAAAATAAATAAATAAAAAATAATGACACTACGATATATCAAATAAAAATAATATAAAACTTTTGAATGTATAAGCCACTGAGAATAACAATGAAATCATAGCAATTTACCTCATCGTCGGTACTAGTGGAATCCACGTAGTGCTGGTTTGTGTTGTTTTCAGAATCAGAGTCTTCAAATTCTTCTTCCTCCTCTTCTTCCTCTTCATCAATTCCTACATCTCCTGTTGAGGTCATCGAATCATCCCTAACTTCACCGGGAAGTACTTCTACGGGATTTATAGTATTATCCAATAAAATATCAGACCGATCTAAATCTACTGTGATAGGAATTTCATATGGTGATGACATTATCTCTTCTTGAAAAGGATCTTCAACAATTTTGGGATTGCTTTCTTCGTGTGTTTCTACTGGTGGCATATTTATTCTACTCCTAGCTTTTGTTTTGCATACAGCCCGCCAATCACTTCTATCTTTTCGTGTAGATGGAAAAGATGTGTAAAAACTTGTTGTGCTTGTTCAGCTAAAATGAAAGGGTCATTTGTGCTAAGCCTTCTTCGAACATTAATCTCCACAACACCAAACCGTGGATGCACTCTAACCCCGCGGTCAGATGTATCATACCAATGACATTTAAACAGAACAACTTTATTTCCACTTCCAAAGTATTCTACCTCCATCACCTCTTCCAACAACCCGTAATAATCAACTTCATTTGCATTCCATGAATTCCCTAAAACACAAACACCATTATTCATTGTTGATTTATGTTGCCCATGTTAGGTTGTGTGAAACTTGAACCCATTGACATAATAACCTTTGTATGTTTTAATCCATCGACTAGGTCCTTGTGCTATGCATTTAATATTTTCCTCAATTGTGCTATGATCATTCATGACCTATGCATCCATAACATCATAAATTAAATACCATATTCAAAAGTCCAACGAGATCAAAGACTACATTCATAGCGTTCCAATTTCAAGGTACATAGATGAAATCGGACAATATAAATAATAATAGAACGAAACAAATATACAAAAATAAAATACAATAACTTACATAAGTTCCTATTCATATATATTTGTAATCTTCATTCAAATAATGATGACATACATGATCAGAAGCAACCACTTATACAGAGTCATCGAACATACGAAAAAATGACAGATTTTCTATCTTAACTTTGAAAATTCATACCTCTTTAACTACTGATCCAATTAATCTAAAATTTTTACACAACATTTGTATATATATGAATTGCATCCCAGTATAACAGTTTGAAAAACAATGAAGTAGATTAATAGTTATAAATTAATTTGTGCAGTGCTACAGTTTTATGATTCAAAACACCAGGGGCTACTTTAAAATTTTGTAAAAAAACACCCGTTAGTTCAAAAACCTAAAAAATTTACAGTAATACAGCGATGAGAGTCTAAAATAATATCCAAGTGGAATTAATGAAATATGAGAAGTAAAACATTAGATATTGAACAAAATGTCCAGCTGACTGAAAACTATCTTGTGTTTACAAAAAGGCTCATAACTTTGTTATTTCAACTCTGTTTTTAACCTATTTTATATCAAATAAAACATCAGAGCATAGAATATTGGAATATAGAATTTCATTATTTTTAAGAAAAGAAAATATGCAGAAAAATAAGTTATGAAATTCGGCCAGAATACAAGTTAGTGTCAAATTCATGGTTCCGGTTAGCATAATTGAAGTAAAGTAGAAAATCATCAAATTTCGTCATATAATCCATATGCATGCCGCATACAGCCCCATGTTCAGTCAATCCATGAATTATATCACATAGTTGAGGAGCATCCTCATAACAATAACAAAAATAAAGGCATATAGGTGACCTCGAACACAGAAACCCAAGCTTAAATCCAACAATTAAATAGAAAGTATCTATGAAAAAGAATACAAATGTATATGACTTACACTTACATAATCTTGCAACCATTGAGGGAAATTTGTATCACGTAATCTTCCTAAAGCTTCATCAGTGAGAGATGGACATTGTTTCAGCATTTCTTCATCAAATTGCGTATAAGAATCAAACATATAGCAATGTTAATATATATTTCATTTTAAATATGCCAGTATTATTTTCCCACATATATTAAAAGAGATACTCACTCGACAAAAGGAATGATCTCACTACAATTCAATAGAATATATCTATGTGCAGCAATCATTTCACTTTCATCTGTAAATAATCGACCAACTTTCTGACTTCCGAGAGGTCTCCCTGGATGATTGAAAAGAGAAAGACGCCCACCAAACTCTATCTCTCCACCATCATCATTTCTTGGGAGCCGAGTTAATCTGGTTTCCACGTTAGACTCAAAATAAAAGGAGCATAATGTTGAAACTTCCTCAATTATGTATGCTTCTACAATAGAACCTTCAACTCTAGATCGGTTTTTCACCTTTTGCTTTAAATGATGTAGAAATCTGAAATATCACATCCATTTCGTAATATATATATATCACCAAAAAATTAAATGATAACATGAGTTAACAATAAATTTGAATATGTAAATGAATACCTTTCAAATGGATACATCCATCGATATTGGACAGGTCCACATACTTTCGCTTCATAAGCCAAATGAACAAGAAGATGTTCCATTACGTCAAAGAATGATGGCGGAAAAATCTTTTCAAGTTTGCAAAGAATCTCGACAATATTCTTCTCTAGTTGTGACGTATGTTCTACAGTCAATACAGTTGAACATAAGTCCCTAAAGAAAACACTGAGTTCTGATATAGCTTCCCAAACTGGTACGGGCAATAAATCACGAAAAACAATTGGAAGCAATCTGTGCATAAATATGTGACAATCATGACTTTTTAATCCATAAAACTTCCAGTCTTTCTCATTCACATTTCGGGCTATATTTGAAGCATAATCGTCCGGAAATTTTAACTTTTTAGTCCAATTGCATATTATTTTTACTTGTTCTGGACTTAAAGTATATGATGCTTTAGGTTTCAAAAGGTTTCCATTTCGGACGTGGAACAAATGTAACTCGGGACGATCACAAAGTTGCTCTAAATCTTTTCGTGCATTTGCATTATCTTTTGACTTTCCCTTCACATCTAAAACGGTATTGAATATATTATCAAACACATTTTTCTCTATATGCATCACATCTAAATTATGACGAAAAAGATTAGTACTCCAGTAGGGCAAATCCCAGAATATACTTTTTTTTTTACCCAATTATGTGTATCGCCAAATCCTAACAGGTCTTTAGGGTTGCCAAATTTGTCATACGTCCGAGATGGGAGTTGACAAACTCGTCTATGGATTTCTTCACCCGATAACCGTGGTGGCGGAGAGTCTTTTTCAGCTCGACCTTTCAAAAACTGACGTGTCTGTCTTCGATAAGAATGACTTCGTGGCAAAAATTGACGATGACAATCAAACCATGATTGTTTGCGTCCTTTTGCTAAACGAAACGATTTTGTTTTCTCCATACAATAAGGGCATGACAGCAAACCATGAGTACTCCAAGAAGACACCATACCATATGCGGGAAAATCATTGATCGTCCATAAAAGAGCAACTTTCATTTGAAAATTTTGTTGTTTGGATACATCATAAGTTTGCACACCTTCACTCCACAAACCATTTAATTCATCGATTAGAGGACGCAAAAATACATCCAACTTTTTGCCTGGAGATTTAGGTCCCGGGATAACCATATTCAAGAAAATATATGGTTGTTCCATGCACATACCTGGGGGAAGATTGTACACCATAATCATAACGGGCCAACAAGAATATGGAGCAGCAGAGTTGCTAAAAGGAGTGAACCCGTCAGTACATAATCCGAGACGAACGTTTCGTGGTTCTGATGAAAATGATGGATGCGTTTGGTCAAAATACTTCCATGCTTCACTATGAGAAGGGTGTGCCATAAGTCCGTCTTCACACTGATTTGTTGAGTGCCACGTCATTTCTTTAGCTGTAGTTTTAGACATATAAAGTCTCTGTAATCTGGGAATGAGCGGTAAGTATCGCAATACCTTACGAGGTTTATCTTTTCTATAACTAACATTTTTGGGCATGTACCTATCTTGACCACAATATATGCATTTTGTCTTCTGTTTATTTTTTTTATAGTATAACATGCAATTGTTCACGCAAACATCAATCTTCTCATAACCCAGTCCAAGTTTTGCAACCATTTTCTTTGCATTATATAAGTTAGCTGGTAACTTTTCATCACTAGGCAACATGCTCTTAACCGATGACATGATTTGATCATAACATGGATGTGACAGGTTGAACTCGGATTTTATATTTAGCAGCTGAGACACTGCCGAAAGCCTTGTTTGTCCCTTGCAACCCTCCCACAATGGTTCATTTGCATCCTTCAATAAATCAAAAAAGTTTTTGGCATTTGGATTTGGTGTTTGTTCTATATTTATTTGGTTCTCATCATTATCAAAATCCCAATGAAAGCCAGGTCCTATAGCATCCATAACCATTGTTCTCATTCCAGAGTGTTCATCACTTCTAGGCTCAGAATGTTCTGGTGTAAGATTTGGTCTCCATGGTTCACCATGTGCATCCCACGTAGTGTAATCATTTTTAAATCCATTTATTTTGATGTGATGATGCACATTATCTCGATTGTTAAATTTTCGATTGCAGCACTTAGAACAAGGACATCTTATCTTACCATGATCAACTACATTTGGATAGAAAGAGTCCCTTCTCTCTCTGTTAGGCGATTTTTTTGTGCTTGTTTGCATTTTGCTTTCTCTCTCTCTGTTAGGCGATTTTTTTGTGCTTGTTTGCATTTTGCTTTATATCTCGGGTCACTAAACAGATTATCACAAAGTGTTACCCAATCATCTTTCTTCATACAATAAGGGACAACAGTCTTCCACTTTTCTACATCATCACCGAATAATTTTTCAGCATTTTTTTTAAACCGATAAATGTTGTTTCAGATGTTCATGTTTGCATAGTTCCATGATTTTTTTATCCAACCTCATGCATTGGCAACCAATTGAAATGTTCCTATTACATAATCAAACAAGTTAGCTCGTAAACCATTTTTTACAAATATTCAAATATTAGTCATATATAAAAATAAAATCATCCACAAGATAATAACTCACTCGAAATTTTTGAAACAATCGAGTCTTTGTTTCATTAGGAACCTTCCCCCAAGAAGACCATGCACCAAGATATTCACGGGAAATATTCATGATCTCGCGAGTTACACTAAATGGAATAAATCTGCGATTAAACGCGAGGTAACGATATAAAAAGGTACCAAAGAAATTTTTATTTTAACATTGAAGTGAGAAAAAAAAATATGTTAGTCGTACCCAAAACCGTCTGGTTGTATCCAAGGTCGATCTTCAGCATTGTTTGGTGCTTGACTTAAACGACTTGCCCCCCTTACTCTTGAGGAGTTTTCATTTTCTCCCTGATTTGATTGGCCTTCTTCTGAAACAAATGTACGAGGGTCGTCGGACTCACGTTCATCTCTTAAAGACATGAACTCATTCTCCATCTCTTCATCATGCTCATCAAGATCAACCTCTGGAGGGGGTACACCGGTTGCGATTGATGGTTGTGTAACTGCACCTCGTGTTTGCTCCATGCCTCTAGATCTTCGACTCGTCTGATCAGTATCCATGGAAGGATGAACCTCTGAAGTAGGAACACCAGCCGATCTATTCAGTGTTGTTGCACCTTGTTCCGGCAACCTACCTCTGGATCTACTAGTCTCAATATTTGTTGGAGGATCATCCATCTCAATCTCTGAATCAATTAGCCTTAAACGTGTTGTTCGTACATTTGTACTTTTACCACGCCCCCTTCCTCTAATTCGTCCACTAAATCCTTTTGCTCTTGTCCCTGACATTCTGCATAAGAATGTTACTGTCTAAACAATTTTTACTAACTAAAACAATAATACTGTTGCTTAAACCATGCATCCAAAAATCAT